TTAATCCACCTACTACTGAGCGAGGCAATATTCTGAGCACATTTTTATTCATCACTGAGAGCAATTGAAGATAAAAACAAATGTCCTTGCGACGGCATATTCTGATAGGATAGTGATGCGACAAGGTCGATGTGGGATGTTCATTTATTCACATCTGAACAGCCTGATCGCTGAATTTATTCTCAGGTGCAAGAAAAAGACTTAAAGGGATATTCCACTGATTTAACCATCACAGTGGGGAAACTACAAAATAATGGAGTTAGATCAGCTTCAGGTTGAGATTTTAATTTAGCCATTAGCCCTGTAAGGTGGGGATCATACTCTGCTGCAGACAGCGTGGATGAGAAGTCGAGCCTGCTGTAGTCGACTGCAGTGCAGCATTTCTGTGGATGACTCTGTGGAGTCACACGTGTCAGCACAGAGCCTCAGTCCTACCCTTCACCAAGATCCGAGCATACTTGTGCACGCAGAAAGTCTACAACACTTTTATGGTCTAATTATTCTTGCATCCCTTCACAGGCTTCCAGTGAAATTCACAATCAACTTTTAAATTCTGTTACCAACATATAAAGCTCTACACGGACAGGCCTTTACCAGAACAGCCGGCCTCGCCAGTCCTCTGATGTGTGCATGTCGGGATGAATGCCTGACTGTATGGTCGATTGTACCTAAATTTTCAGAAGCGCTTTGTAACTCTGTGTTCTGAAAAGTGCCACACAAAAAAAGTTGTTATTATTATTATTATCTGCAATAAAAATGTGCTTCTTTGCTTTTTTAAAATTGCCATGTCCTGGTAATCAGGCAATAAACTTACATTAATAATTAAACTCTCTGATGCTAAACAGTTTACAAAAAAGAAATCTTTCGCCAAAACACAGAATTACAGTTATGATTGGTTCTCAGCATCCTTCAGCTGGAGGTGTGCTATTTGACAAGAGGGGGCATCCACACTTTCACTCAGTGTGTGCATCCACCACATTAAAGGCTTTTAAATGAAGTAGACTTATGTGGAAAAGAGTTAAAAGTCCCCCCAACACCAAGTCTGCACCAGTGTGAACTCATAACGCATCCCACCCACTATCCAAACCTTCTGTTTACCAGGGCCAGCCAATCAAAAGGACGGGCTCTAAGAGATAATGAACCGAGAGGCTACACCAGTAGAACATAAATAAGGAACTGCACTGGGAATCCCAACAAGCTTATCAGGCATCAGAAACAGATACAGTTTGAAATAATCGGTCAAAGTATCAGCAGGTTAACCGATAACAAAAATAACTGTTAGGAGAAGGATGTGATGAGTTGCAGTGAATGTAATATTCACTCGTTCCTTTATGCATGAGCAGTAACAAACATCACGGTCACTGTGCACAATATTTGCATTGAGTGGGCAATAAAATCCATTCCTGTGGAACCAGTTTGGACTCGTGGGACAGAAACTCTCTCTTCGACTCTCACGTTCAGCTTCAAACTTTCGTTTTGGTAAAGCTCACGAACGGGACTGGATCAGGTGACCCAGAACAAATCCTTAGTTACCCTGTGACATGCTCAGGCTGCTGCAGGACTTCCACGATGCAGAGAAGCTTTCTATGCATCTGTTATTTCCGATTTTATAATCTTTGCATCTTCATGGTCCCTGCACCTTTCAGCTCTGGAGCTACTTCCTGATCTACTCCAACCGATAAGACTAGTGCAATTCATCATGGCCTCCAACCATGCATGTCACTGTATCCTACATGATAACTGGGCAAATATGTCCAATACCAATAATATCACAATAACCTGTTAAAATCATCCATAAATTTACTTTTTTTTATTTTTAAAACAGTACTGGCAACTTTAACTTGTATGAAGACATATTCCTGCAGAAACTCCAAATCACAGGGCACCGTAACGCAATCTCAGAGGAACCGACGTTAGCCCGGACGCTGGGTACGCAGAGGAGCAGCAGGAAGAGGAGACAACAAAATCGTAATTAAATTAAGAATAAAATCTCCAACAGTCTCCAGAGCGTCACTCAACAACATAACAGCAGCCTGACTGCACCTGCATGAGTGACTCGGTCTAACTGAGCTGAAGTGTTGTGGGAAAGTGAGTCTCTCCAACTGCAAGATAGGATCCAGCCAAAAGAGAAGAGAACCAATACAAACCACAAAACGTGGCCTAACCTGTGCTGCTGCTGCTGCTGCACGAATTCAAACCACAATTATCATCGATACCTTTATATACTTCTGTACTTCCAACCAGATTATCAAGATAATCAAGTTAAAACAATCATCTGTCATTTTGCTCTTTTTCTTCTTTTTATCTGAAGTCAGGTCACAGTGGCAGCAGCTAAACTGGGTATTCCACACATGCTTTCCCTAGCTACACTTTCCAGTTTCTTCTGTGGGATCCCGAGTTTCTCCCAGGCCAGATGAGGCACATAATCTCTCCAGTGGGTTCTGGATCTACTCTGAAGTCTCTTCCTAGTATGACATCCCTGAAAAACCTCCAGGTAGACATCCAGGAATCCTTTGGACAGGAAGGAACAGTGACTCTACTCAGAGCTCCATCTAGGTGTCTGAGCCCAGGCACCCTGCAGGGGAAACCCATTTGACCTCGTTCTTTTGGTCAGCGCACAGCTCACAGGGCCGGCTGAGGCAGATTTGCCTTAACGTGAACCAAGACGACTGAAAGAGACTTTGGTCATCAAGAAAATTAAACCCTGCTGGGAAACGTTTTAGCTTCGAGGAGTCTTGAGAGGAAGTTCAACAAATGCACCAAGTTGCAAAAGCTGAGGTAGTATGATGAGGATTTTTTTTAAAAAAGGAGCAGCCCCAGCTGAGACCAAAGGTTGTCTTCACTGGCTCTGTCTGAGGTTTCTTCCTGTTAACAGGTTTTCTCCCCGTTGCCACCGACAGCTGCCTCGGTGTCATTCTACACTACTTTAAAGTTTTGGCCTTGCTGTGTAAATTCCTAAAATAAACTCGGGCAAAAAAAGTCTTGGTTGTTTTTTTATGTCTATAGAAATAAGGAAGCAAACAAGAGGACGCGAGCAAGGATGCACGCATAGAGAAGGGAGGAAAAAAAAGAGCAAACAGATAAGATGAAGGTCAAAGTGAGCACAAAGTGTTTTGTTTTTGTAAATGCACCCTTCTGGAAAACACAGCCACTCAATCAGACATCGCTAAGTGTAAACAAAGGGCAGCGAGGCGCCGCGTTCGCAGCTAAAAGCTCCAATCAGTGAAGAAAACAGGCAGGATCATGTGTTAGCCTCTGAGCCAAGCGGGCATGTGGTGCTTTTGTTCCTCCAAAAAATGACTCAAGCGGATACCTGCGTATGAAAAATGTGAGCTGCAGGGACACTGCTGCACATTCATCAGCAAACAAATAAAGTGCAACTTGACACCAGAGGAATACTAACATGTCTTCTGCTGAAAATAAATAGCTGTGGTGTCCTTTAAACAAATCAGCCAGCAGCGACTGCTGCAAAGGACGGATTAACTTTTCATGGGTGTAAAGCATTGACACAGAAACTACCAACAAGCCTGATGACTAACAAGCAGGGAGACGGAGGAAATGAAACAGAGAAGTAGCACCGAAACCGAGTCACAGATACATTTTTTTAAAGCTCAGACAATAAAAGAACTGAAGCAAAGGACAGAAAGGAAAGTTAATCTGCAGATACATTCACGATCGCCTATTTTTTAATTGAAGATGCAGAACTTTCTTTGTGTTTGCTCCTTCTTAAATGTGAGCATGTGCTATAAAATCTATTTAGGGTTATATAATTAATATTTTACATATAGAGTATACACATATAGGTTTGAGACTTAGTGATTAGTAACATTTTCATATCAATAGTGTGTGAAATGTTGGTTAAACACTGCAAAAAACCTCATTTCCTCACTTATCTGGTTAATGAGGCACACGGATGGTTACAGCTCCTTAAACGTGAGGATGTGGTGCTATTCTCCTTATATTAGATTTACAGTTACTATATGTGGAACAGTTTGTGGTTTGGTTTTGAGATTTTGTGCACGAAACACCAAAACAATAAATCATTAACCACCACCTATGCTGGTTGATTCAGCCACCATGAAGGCCATGAAAATCTCTCACTTTGAAAGGCATCTTCACAACTCTGCTGCATTCAAGGCTCGGACCAAGGCCAGAAGCAAGTTCAGAGACAAGAGGGTGGACGTGGGAGAGTTTTAATAAGTTCTTTTGACTCTAATAAGCTATTAACTCAACGGGTAGCAAATTAATACAGAGCAGAAGATTTTCAGCCCATTTAAAAACAAATATGAACATAACAGCTTCAATTGGCTTTCATTGCATGACATCTAAATAAACAGAATTAATGCCAGCTGAGTTTTCATTTAAATTTGTTATATGACTATTTTGCATCTTTAGTCCGATACTTCCTGCCACGTTGCTAGCCGATTTGAATACGCGCTCCGACGCCATCGTAGGATTGGACACGTGCCAAGGAGTTGGAGGTAAAACATTAACCGTGAGTCACATTTTCCCTTTCTCCCCCCCTTTTTTCTTTCACAGTAACATCTTCACAATAATGTGCTGTGTGTCTGAGAAAATTGCTAAACTAGCACAGTCTAATCTGAGTAGTCTAACACAGGGTTAACCCAGCTGTGTACTCTGGGATTTTGAGTGAGTATGAAATTTAAATGTAATGATACACATCAAAGGGTCTGATTAATAGTGAGGAAGTGAAACAGATGCTTTCTTGTGTGAAGGAAACTGTAAATCAACTAAACTGTGGGTGTCACGCTGCGAGTGTGCATTCAAAAGTGCCTTTATTTGACATTGTATAACTAAAAGGATAACTGGCGACATTTAAGACGACAGCCGGGCTATTTTCTGCAAATATGCATGAGCGTGTGCCTTTTATATGCGACATTTTATAAGCTCAACAATGAATCAATTTGTACACAAAATAGTAAATAATAATTATTAGCCTTCAGGAAAAGAAATCATAACATTATGAATCATGCACTCACCTGCGGGGTCAGCTCTTGTAATGATCCTTGAAGAGGAGTCAGTCTCCCGTCAGGCACCTCTGTCTCCCAACAACAAAACCACGGAGCTGAGGGCGAGAAAACCGGGACATGTTTTAAAACACAACAGCACCGAGGCTGAAAATCTCGGCACAATGCATGAGCGGACTCCCAGGAGGACACGGAGAAGGATATCTGAATCTTGGATTAGATTGCGGTATTTTATGGAGAACATCAAGTCTCTGTATTTCTCTCATTTCATAATTTGATACACATTTGTGAAGATTTGAAAAGAAAGGTGCAGTTTTAACCCCCCATCAAACAATGGGGAAGAATCCTGGATTCAGATCGAGCCTTTTTTGGAATAATCCTGCTAACAAAGACAAACCAACCAATCACAGAGGCTCCTCGGTGGAGGTAATAAACCCCCGGCCTCATCTTTCCCCCTCCCATCCTCCTCCTCCTCCTCTCTGCATCTTAAATCATAAGAAGAAACCGCAAAATCTGCCAGTGTGTAACCAGATCTCAAAAAGTTTGATAGCCGGAGTTTAAGATGGGGTTTGAGGCCAATGTCACCTCTGCGATGGGCCTCGGCTCCACAAGCGAACAGGAAACCGAGAGGAGAGGAAGATGGTCCATTTGCCCTCGGGAGACACCGGCACTCGGCAGACGCCAGCCATGCAAAGACCACAAGCCCCCGCTCCTCTATCTCGCCCTCTTTCCTCAATCTCGTCTTTCCTTTCATCTCTGAGTCATTGTAAAGTGTAATGAAAGAAAGATGGATGAATAATTCAGTAGACAGCATTTAAGAACTCCCCTTTTATGTCTTTCTGAGAATGCAGGACAGTGCCACACAAAGATTTCCTTTAAAGTTTCAGCCTAATGTGGGATTCCCCCATTAATCGAGCTCCCCGTTAATTATGCTCGCTTTCTACAAAGGTTTACAGCGTAAGTGGGGCGCCGCGTCTGCAGCAGGGTCTCCTCAGCCAGCGTTTTTTTTTGTCTCGTCAACACAGATATGTTTGGGCGCCGAACTGCAGTATTAACTCTTCATTTCCAAACGTGCTCTATAAGGTAACGGGGCCTGATCCTGTTAGATCTTGTCAAACTGAAATGGGATTAGAGGTGTTGAGCATCTGCCCACTCAATCTGGAGCAAGAGCAGATCCGCCGTTCTGGCCTCGGTATGCCAGGTGCTGAGAAACGGAGACCACAAAGTGGCCAGCAGATCGAGAAAAAGCCCAAAACACTCTTACTTTCAAATCCTTTTTTTTTGAAGGTGGGATGATAAAAAATTTGAAATATTCAAGGAGGCAAATTTAGGTTTTCAAAGTGGTTTGGTGGGATGCTGGGGATGAGGAGATTCATGGAATGAGGGCAGGGATAGGGGGAGAAAATTCAAAAGGCGACTCAGCCAAAGCAGAGCAAAGAAATGCACAAAAGCTTCTTAAATCATGTCAGTCTCACTCTTGGGGATCGGCAAGGCCATCCGAGGATACGTCAAACACCACCCTTTCCATCTGCCAATCTGTAAAGGCAAAGACTGAAGTTCTCGCTGTGTACGCAAAGTGTGTAGGCGGGATATGTAAACAATGTGACAAAAACCTCAATCCTCACACGCTGGAATTAAGCGAGACTCGGGAATGGCTGAATCTCTCCCAAAAAATGTAGGCCAGAGTCGTTTTTTTTCCTCATTTTCTGCAGACGCACAGTGGTCGGTATCATTAATACAGACGCAGATAAATATCAAAGTGGAATAGAGATGTGTGTGAGACAGAATCAGGCTGGCGGGTTCCCTCGGCACTGCTTCCTGTCTGATGTTTGGCTACATGAACCGAGACGAATCGCACACAAGCAATATTTGGGATGAGGAGCGAGAGGAGGTGGGGGAAGGGATGGATGAGGAGGAGGAGGAGGAGGAGGAGGAGGAGAAGGAAGAGGAGGAGGGGAGCTCCCTTCCCAAAAGAGGTCTGAGAGATTGGAAGTGAGCCATGCAGGTCTGAGAGCAATCACACAAAACGCAGGGATCCTTCTTAAATCTGTGCCAGCCAACCTCCACACCCATGGAGGAAGCACATCAAGGGTCCCTTCATCCTCCTGATATCACACATTCAGGCAGCATTCAAGGCAGCACACCATCCACCACCTCCACCCACCCTCGTGCACGTTTGGCAGATTTATGGCACTTTGTTAGCGGGAACCAAAACAGGATTTGGAGCTGGTTCAGCCAAACATTTAAATGAAAAAGGACACAGAGTGTTAACAGTGCTCAGCCTGCTGCTGTCATAAAATGTAAGCTAACCCACGGATATTAATGCTAACCTAAACAACTCACACACACATATGCACACGAGGAAATCAGCCCTCCTTTAGCAGTCATCTCGCGCCTATTCACGTCAAGTCAACGCCACAAAACACGAGTCCCCTCGCTGTCATTTCAGGGAGAAAAATCTGCTTCACTTGGACACAGAAACAACATCCCAACAGGCAGACAGAGCGCCGGGCGCTGAAGACCGTGTCAGCTGTAAAAACTGCATCACCAATACAAATTTACCCCCTCCTCCCAACGTACACATTTTGGGTCATCTCACCTTTCTCCTTCTGCCTTTTCTGTCATCCAGTCATCTGAGAGCTCCTCACGCCAGAACGAAACGTAAGGCACGAGAAGCAAAGAGGGTAAAAAAGACATGAAAGGAGGCCACAACCTTACATTTCTGCTTTCCGGCCGCCGTGGAGATTACGTCCCCCCCCCTCCCGCACCACCTCCTGTTAAAAGTGCCGTCACTTTGCGAGCGTGGCGAGGAAGCCGGTTTCCTCTATGCTACAGCTAGAAAAGGCCTGTCCTTGGGCATGAGCATTGTGTATGTGTCTGTGCTGTCTGCAGAGGCTGCCATGCCTCCCATTGTTCCAGGGCGAGTGAGGCAGGCTTCCTACCCCAACAGACCCTGCCTACTACAACAGCTGTGGACCAGCCCCCACCTCCCAGTTGCTCTCCTTCTCCCCTCCTCCTCCACCTCCTACAACTCCTGCCTGTGCTGCTGCTGCTGCTAAACATTAACCCCACAGCTGCCGGCTTGGGTCATAAAGAGGAGGAGAAGGGGGAGTTGTTTTCACAGGAGACCCTACCTTGTACGGACAAAGGGACGTAACAGGGAGAGGATATCCGACATCCCGGCCGAACTGACAGCAGCTCTGCACAGAGCTATTAAGTGCCCCAGAAAGAAAACAGGCTCTGCACTAAGAGGATTGTCCTTCTCTTTCACATTGGCAGTACGTGTTGGACAGAGTCCTGAGCGACGGCACAGAGGGAAAGACTGGAAATCAGAAGGAATCAGGAGGCTCCAGCTTATGATTACTTTCATTAGAAATTATAGTCTCAATTATTCTCTGCTGTGGCTTAGAGAAAATGGAGCAAACACAGCAATCCAGAGTGAACAGAGCCCAAATTATGTGCCGAGATGAGGTGATGGGAGGTTTTTTTGTCTCTACATATTGTATCTAAAAGATGGACTTCTGCTATTCGAATGCAGCTCGTTTCTGGACTTCAAATTTTCAAGCAGCAAGAAATGACTGCAGTTAGTTGAAAGGATGTGTACTATGTTACCAGTTAATCCTATCAAGCTTGTTTAAACATACAGGTGCAACAATCAGACACATCTGCAAAGACACCAATACGCAGCTGGGATTTCACTCACAGGAAGTGAAGCACAAACTACTTGGATACAGAAAAAGATACGAACACAGTGGAGAGGTCCAATTCAGGGACTTCAGTTCATGGAGGTGAGACCTAGCAGGCAGCGGGTTCAGTTCAATTTGATTTATTTAGCACCAAATCAACAAACCATGTGGCACAAGGCTGTTGCCCCGGGTTTGATTCTGTCCTCGGTCATTTGCTGCATGTCTTCCTCCTCTTCTCTCACCCACCTTCCTTGTCTATTCTCAAACTGTCCTTTCATAATAAAGTCTAAAAAGCACAAAAAATATATCTGTGAAAAAATAATAATGATAAAAGAGGGTGAAACGATCCACAAATGGCAAAACTGCTTTTTAAAACTGTGAATTTGGATATCTTAACATGGTGAGTCTATAGGGATCGACCGGCCATTAGAGCCAACCAAGTGCCTGTTAGAGGAACTGCAGCTCCTCTAACAGACAGTGTTGCTTTGACATTTCAGTCTCTGAGCCATTTTTTGAAGTATGGGAGGAAACCTGAGCATCAGCAGGAAGAAAATGCACTACATTCAGGTGTTAGAACACACTCTGTGTCATCAATATTTCCTCATTTGACAGCTCTAATCTGCCCCACTCAGCTGACTTATAAACACACACACACACTCTATCTGTGTATCTGTTTCCACGCTTGCTTGTTTGTTGTTGATCAGTCCTGGAAGTTGCCACTTGTGACCAACCAAAAGAAGAAAGATTGCACTGATGTTGGTGTAGCCACAAATAAAATGGACTTTAGTAGCAGATGTTTATGTGTTGTGTAACATCCGTTTTGTGTTGGCTCGGAGACACTGGGGTGAACCCATGATTTAATAACGGCATCCAGAATTTCACAATCGGTGGATCCCCAAAAAGGAGAGAAAAATGGAGCCCGCTAGCATTACAGCTCAGCTGATGTGGATGGCATCACTGTTTGCATCCGGTCACACTGTCACAAGCCTCTCGTATGGGTGGATGAACACATCCTTTTTCTTTTTTGAGTAACTGGGATTTTTGGGGCGAGACACTTTGCTGAGTACTTCAAATAAAGTTGTGTTAGCACCTCAAAGTAAGAAAGTACAGTTACGTTATGTTACGTGAAGATATTTGTTACACTTGGACACGAGGGGACCGTAGCAGACGCATGGATGCGGGTTTAATGACTAGCCTGGATGATTTACTGCTCCAAGTTCAGCCTGACCCTAGCTCAAAACCAGTCATAGTGGTTGTTTCTTTATCTTCTGTTGATAGCTTTAGTTAACTTCTAGAAGGTTCTAACCTTTTTTTCCTTTTTTTTTTAAAAACACAGAAAGAATTAAAGTTCCCTGAAAAAGTCTCTTTTCTCCAACCCACCATGTAAGAGTCGAATTAAAAATTAAACAAGT